GTAGAGGAAAAGACAATGCTGCAAAGAACACTAAAATTGTATTTCAGGCTCCTAGCCAATCTCAATATATATAATAATCATCATTTTTCTTTTGGAAAAAATGTACATTAGCTGTACCTGCACAAAAAAGTTAGACAAAAAAATATTTCAAAATTATGTAGTTTTATAATTGATCACTAAAAAAGACTAAAATATCCTAATTTTTTTAGCTAGAGTGGGATTGTTTGTCTTTTCACATGGTGCTTTAATGAAACAATGTAGTTTTGAATGTTTTTTTGTCTAATTTTCTTACAGATCTTATTGATAAACACTAATCACTTTTCTTTTTTCATATATATAATAAGACATTAGTATTTATCATCCAAACCTAGAAGGAGATAAGTGGAAAAACACTTTAAAACTATGTTATTTTAGTAAAGTATCATTAAAAAAAAAAAAACTAAAATAGTATCATTCTTGTTTTAAAAAGTAAGATATTTTAATTATTTTCAATGAGAATTTATTCAAATAACATAGTTTTAAAATGTTTTTCCACCTAATTTTTTACTGGTCCAATGATAAAATATATTTTTTTTTTTGAAATTATATATGAAAACCTGAGTGTAAAACATGAACAATCATGATTTTGTGTAAAAGGTGTATGCAAAACTTGTATATAAATTGATCCTAACCATATATATGAGACTCTATTTATCAGCTCGACTTGCCAAAAAAATAGATTGGAAAACAATTCAAAATAATGTCATTTTAATAAAGGAAAATAGTTGGTGCGCTTTTCAATTTAACATACTCACTAACATCCACTAATTTACCCATTAAAATTTGCAATTCAAAATTTTCTTGCTTTAAATTCAAATTTAAAATAATAATTTTTTAATAAAAGTGTTATAGATTATATTAAATTGGAAAGTATACTAATCATTTTCTTAATAAAATATTATGAGAAAAGACTAAAATAACCTACTTTTAAAAAAAGAATGATGTCGTTTTAATTTTTTCTTATGATGTTTTATTAAAATGATATTGTTTTGAAGTTTTTTTTGCCTAAGTTTTTGTAAGTCCAACTAATAAACATTTTTCCATATACACGCATATGTAGAGAAAAGAGTGTTGATGAACCTCTAAAAGATTAGAAGGAAAAAAGTGCTAAAACCACATTGATTTAATAAATTTTTATTAAAAAAGACTAAAATAACCTACATTTTAAGCAAAAATGACTTGCAGTCTTTATCTGCGGCGCTTTAATCAGACGACATAATTTTGATGTGTTTTTCTTCTGAATATTTTAAACACCCAGCTGATGAACATCAATCTCATAAATATATTCCACACACAATAGAACAAATAAACTTGTTGAGCTGAAATACCTTCCCCAATCGTAGCTGGATCAGCATAACCAAAACACTCGTCATTCTTAGAAGGATAGTCATACCACCAATCGGAAAAAATTCCACCTCGAAACATGCCGAAGTCGAACAACTTTGGATTGTACTCCTATATATTGAAGTAGGTTCAATTAATAAGCAGTTAAGTACTTTTGCACACAAACAAGGTCATAAAATGGCAGCAAAACCAACCTGGTCAAGCATTATATGAGGAGCAGCAATATTGCAAACAAGGTATTTCTCATTAGGTGGATCAGGAGTGTGTAAAAATTTGAGTAGGCATGCTAATCCTAAGGCAGCTTTGATTCTCCTAGACCAAGTAAAAGTATCTGAAAATGCAAAGTGGTTTCCTTAAACACTTGCTACAATTGTGAATCAATTGCTACGTATCAGAACAATTTACAAATATGTAGATAATTAAAAATGCATATGAAGCATCCCAAAGCTTAAGATTCAATATTAGTACCAGAACTAAAGCTAACCTCAATAAGCCATTAGTCAGAAACTCCATAATATCACACCCATAAAATAATGACAGTAAATTATCAGAGGATGCAAAGAAAACATACCCTTGAGTAGGAGGTTATGCATGGAATTCAGCGGCTTAAGATCATAGACAACACTAAAATGTTCATTTTCGTGGCAGTATCCAATCACATTAACCAAATATGGGAGTGATATCAGTTTTCGATGCTTAAGTAAAAGAAGTTCGGCCTAAATAAACAATGTATTAGGCAATCAACAGATCATCACAGAAACCAAAAAATATAGGAAGTAAATCACTTAAACAACACGTACCCTCAACCTGAGTTCATTTTGAGTTCCCAAAGTACCGTAATTTCGTCTATTTTTTTTATTGACACCATCCCATATTTTCACTGTCACTTGTTGTCCTTCCATCACTCCATGATACACTTTGCCAAATTGGAAGTTTCCAATGAGGTTTTCTTTCCTAAATCCATTGGTATAGCAACTGAGGTCCTCATAAGAATATACTTTTATGTTTTCACACTCCTTACCTGAATGGTTGTATCATAGAGATCAAACAATGATTTCTTGTTAAACAAAAATTTAACTAACTATTCACCAAAAAAAACAAAAAACTAATTTGTTGGGAACTAAAAATGGAGTGCAGTATGCCAAAGAAAAAAAAAATCAGGGCTCATTCAATAGTTTTAAGTAAAGATTTACTGGGAGAGCTGAACTACGTCGTTTGCTATGCCATTAATAAAAACAATACTAACCTGCAAAAGGGTTAGTTGGTCTCCTCTGTCCTTTATTTATAATGCATTCATTGTGAGCTGGACTTGGGAAGAATCCTGTCAAGCAAAGGCCAATTCACAGAAATTTTAATTAGCCGAAAGAGAGCTCACTCATAGGATGCAATAGTGAATTAATTTGAAACATAAGATATCAAGAGATTCATTCAAAAGACATCTTTTGAAAAGCACTTCAACATATGATGTTTTCATGTTTGTCTTGATTTCAG